CCTCGCTTGGTGCCGGGCTGGCCAGAGCGTGGTGCTGTCAGCGGTGGCCAGCCCTCTCCCCGGGAGGCGCAGGGAGGTCTGCTCGCTTGCTGCGCGGCTGGCCAGAGCGTGGTGCTGGCGGCTGTGGCCAGCCCTCTCCCCGGGAGGCGCAGGGAGGTCTGCTCGCTTGCTGCATGGCTGGCCAGAGCGTGGTGCTGGCGGCTGTGGCCAGCCCTCTCCCCGGGAGGCGCAGGGAGGTCTGCTCGCTTGCTGCAGGGCTGGCCAGAGCGTGGTGCTGGCAGCTGTGGCCAGCCCTCTCCCCGGGAGGCGCAGGGAGGTCTGCTCGCTTGCTGCAGGGCTGGCCAGAGCGTGGTGCTGGCAGCTGTGGCCAGCCCTCTCCCCGGGAGGCGCAGGGAGGTCTGCTCGCTTGCTGCAGGGCTGGCCAGAGCGTGGTGCTGGCAGCTGTGGCCAGCCCTCTCCCCGGGAGGCGCAGGGAGGTCTGCTCGCTTGCTGCAGGGCTGGCCAGAGCGTGGTGCTGGCAGCTGTGGCCAGCCCTCTCCCCGGGAGGCGCAGGGAGGTCTGCTCGCTTGCTGCAGGGCTGGCCAGAGCGTGGTGCTGGCAGCTGTGGCCAGCCCTCTCCCCGGGAGGCGCAGGGAGGTCTGCTCGCTTGCTGCATGGCTGGCCAGAGGAGCTGCAGCGTAACCGGGAGAGCTGCCGCCTCCTTGCGTGACGGAGCGAGCGCACTAGACAGGTGCCTCCGCGTGCTGGGGCGCTGCGCGTGTCGCCCCTTGCAGCTGCTCTTGACGAGTCCCCGCCCCGAGAGCTCTGCCTAGCGATGCAAGCTGGCGGGCGTGGTGCACGCGGTATGCGCTGGAAGTGGCCGCGCCCCGGAGCCGTGCTCGTTCACCTCTGCTCCGGCTCTGCCCCCGCTTTAGGGCGCCTGGCGGCTAATTTCTGAACGTTCCCGCCTCTCTGGCCCCTGGGCCGTGCTCCTCGTGTGGCCGGGGCGCCTGCTGGCTGCACAAGACGCTCCGGCTGGCGGCTGATGCGGTAGAGCCGTGTGGCTCCGGAGACCGCCTTCCGCTTCCGAGGCCGGGCTGCAGAGGCTGGCTTGGTGCTCCCCGGTTCGCAGAGCAGCCGGTCCACGGGCCATGGGGTTGCCAGGCAGTGGCCTTTGCTGGCTGGATTTGCCTTCTGAGATTTAGTGGCAAGGCCCCCGTGCCCGGGAAGTGCTGGTGTGCGCTGCTGCGGGCTGGCTTGGTTCTTGGGCTCTGAGTGGTGGGGACGGGTGCTCGGCAGTGACTTTCTCAGACAGGGCCCGTGGCAGCTCTCGTGGCTGTGGCGGCCACGCCGCCGGGCCGGTGGTTTCTGTTGGGTGCGGGGCCCCAGGGCTGAGCTGCTCGGTGTGTGCGTGGCGGCAGCTGGAGGGGGAACTCATCTGCTGGGCGGCTCGCAGTGATTTAACATCCCCCCTTGCTCCTGTCCTCCAGCAACGATCCACCGTGGCCTCCATGATGCACAGGCAGGAGACCGTGGAGTGCCTGAGGAAGTTCAACGCCCGGAGGAAGTTGAAGGTGAGCAGGCGTCTGCTACGTGGGAAGGGGGCTGGGGTCTCTTCCGAGCTCTGCCCCAAGTCCCTTCCCCTCTCTGCCTCTGTGCCCTGGGCGCATGCCTGCCTTGCCAGAGGTGAGCCTGGAGATAGCTCGTTGCTGTTTGTCTGAGCCGAGGTGCTCTGGAAGAGGCTTTGGGGGCTGGCAGGTTTCTG